TTTTTTCAGTAATAACCCACTTTGATTAAGATAGAGATGAATCTTTTGGAAAAAAATAAAATAAAATTGTGCATATATAAAGACATAGTGTATTTATTAGCTTAACAAAGGTAATTCAATGCATAACCTTTGCATAAAACTAGGTTACCTTTCCAAATTCCACAATTTTGACATTTAATGGCAAGGTGGCCTTCTCATTTCCTAAATCATTCCAAGACTTAAACTAATGATGACTATAAATTTCGAAAACTTAATCTTTACTTAAGTTGCAATCATAATTTTATCTTTGAAAGGAAAAAAATAAATAAATCATCATTCTTCCAACTTTTGACTCTTTGAACCGCATTATTTTTATTCTTATTCTAATTATTATTATTATTTAATTACCTTTCGTTTTGAGGAATATTTTTGCTTGCTTTCCTGTACAGGATATATAAACAAAACATAAAACGGTATGGCAAAAATAAGCAAATGCCAAATTAATCAAATGTAAATTCGATAGCAAAATATATGTTCAGAAAACTACGACGATTATATGATACTCTTCCACGTCAACAATCAAATGACCAATAGAAAAAGGATTATTGTTTTAAAATCTAAATAAAAATAAAAATGCGGACAAGTTGAATTGTGGCAATGGTGTAGCCACATGGGAACAGATGGTCTCTCTTATGCATCATGTAACTACCATAATAATAGTGATTATTTATCTAATAAATCCTCATTATTTTTGAGATATATTAAAAAACGTCATAACTGCAATTAACCAAATTGAATAAATTAAAATAAGTGAACTAATTTATTTCATCTTCCATTTTATAATTGTGTGGAATGGATAAACTATAGTGTATTTCTCAATATAATTGTGAGTCTATCATTTTTGCTATTGACTTAGCACAATACAACAACTAGTGCAACGATATACATAATATAATATTGAGAAACATTACGGTCTCGTTATGAAACTATATATTCTGTTGGGTTTGTAATTGTTAGATCATCATATATCGTCGGAGATAGTTGATGACGACTACAAATTCCGACGAAATATTTCTGTAACGAGACAGTAACATCTATATATTATTACAACAAAGTTAAAGTAAACACTATGTAGTTAAACATGAAATTACTACTTAAGATATGTTTTGTAAGAGTGTCGTTTTCTTTTGCGAAGACATACCACACAAAGTCCAATATGGTGCGACCAAATGGCGCTATTGTTCTTACTTTGTCTTGTCACAGAAATACAAAGGTCCACATGAAACGACCTTTTTTCTTGTGTCTATCTCTTCTTATTTTCAACACGTTTATGCTAATCTCTATAAATTATAGCCTGTCATAAACGCGCATTCGATGAAGATTTAATTTATTAATTAATGTTAATACCCGTATATATTTTTTATTTATTTCATAGCTAATTAATAATTTTTTTCTTAATAATAATAATAATTAAGCATATTGTTGCCCATAAATATAAATCCAATAAACTGCTGTTATGTAGACTGTAATAATTAAACAATCATACTTTTTCAATAACTATATGTAAAAAGAATGTGTAACGTTACATAATATAAAAATACATTTTTGTTAAATGTTAGTAATATTTTACACGAACAAAGTATGATATTTAATAGTATAGATATTATTTTTTATTGAAAAAGTTATAATGAGTGGATAGTTTTGAATTTGATATTTATTGCATCAAATTTAAATTTTATTTCACACAACTATTTTCTCAAAAGAAAAAAAAGGCAAATTACGTACAACGAGAAATCGTAAAAGTTCATATTTATTTATTGTTCGAGTAGTTGGTGTGTTTAGTTTCGAGTTTTATTCTAGCGTTGCTAGCGGGTTTCTAGGCGAATTTTTGACATGGCCTCCAACTTTATTCTCTCGTTGGTAACTTTATATTTTTATTCGCATATTTATGCGTTTCTAATTTATAATATAATAGTTCCTCTATCATTCCGAAAAAAAAAAAAAAATTATTGTTACATATTTTAACTTCTTTTCACACAACTATTTTATCTAAAAAGATACCGAAAGAGAAAAAAGCAAAATTAGTCACGAAAAGCCAAAATTTAATTTTATAAATCTGAACAACCACTTCCAACTGGCTACACTTTTCTTTTCAAAATTAGCCTTTTTTTTCATGTCCACTAATTAAGCAATTTGATTACCAATCTCTCTCTCTCTTTCTCCCTCTCTCTCTCTCACACACACACACACACAAATAAAATTAAAAAAAAATAATAATAAATAAATAAATAAAATTATAAGGCAAATATAAAACGTCCTCAATCGAGACAAACATAAATACAGCACAAACATTCATCAAGCATATTTTCACTTACAAACACACACACACACACAGTTACATAAACCCAAAAAAAATAAAAAAAAATAAATAAAAATGTCCAAAGTCCAAAATTCAATCCTTCTTCTTCTTCTCCATTCCTTGTTCATATGTGCAGCTTTTGCAGAGCCTTTCAACATACCAACCGTTTCATTTTCAAAAGGCTTCACCAATCTATTCGGAGAGCCCAACATCGTCAAGGCCCAAAATGATCAATCGGTCCAACTTCATCTCAATCAAATCACAGGTTCATTTGTGTGTTTATAGATTCTTTTTTTATTTTTTTTGTTTAAATTTTTGTGATTTTTTTTAGTAAAAATATATTTAAATTATTTACCTATTTTTTTTTATGATGACACTAATATATAGAATCAATTTTTTTTCTTAGGATAAGATTTTTATTTTGATCTTTTGTTTATATTTATTTTGTAGATTTGTTGTTTTTCTAAATTTTAATTTTCTCATCTTTATAATTTATATTTTTGACAGGCTCAGGGTTTAGGTCCTCAAACCTCTACAATCATGGGTTTTTCAGTGCCAAAATCAAGCTACCATCAGACTACACAGCAGGAATTGTGGTTGCATTTTATGTAAGTTTAACCAATAAATAAATAAATAAATAAATAAATTTGATTAATTTACTTAATTCATTAGACTCAAATTTAATTAATTTTGCGATGGTGCAACATAATTTTGTACAGACAACAAATGGAGATATGTTCCGAAAGACACACGACGAGCTCGATTTCGAGTTCTTGGGCAACATAAGAGGGAAAACATGGAGGTTTCAGACAAATATGTATGGCAATGGCAGCACAAGCAGAGGAAGAGAAGAGAGATATTACCTTTGGTTTGACCCTTCTAAGGAGTTTCATCGTTACAGCATATTGTGGACTAACAAGAATATTATGTAAGTCAAATTTTTTTTGTTTTCGTTATTTTCAGCTATTTTATTTATAAATTTAATTTTCAAATTATATTGGGGAGATGCTACAGTCCCGTTACGGAACTATATCGTCGGATGTTTAACCATAATATAACGGTTACAAGGCCGACAGAATGGTTGGACGGGAGCATTTCCCATTAAATTAAACGTATTATTTTCCTTGGAGTAATATTGGAAAAAGGTAGTTAAGATCCCAATGTTTGAAAAAGGGCCAGATTTCAAATCCCATTAGAAAGTTGTGCACATTTTCCCAAATTATTCACAAACAATTTGCTTTAATTCAGCAAGAAAATCAGCCTATATTGTTTAGGAATTTTATGATTTGGTTACAAGTAATAGTAATAGTTACTTTCAAGATTCACATGTATGGAGAAAAAAGAGAGGATGTGGGGGTGATTATTATGAAAAATAATAAGGATGAGTCACAACTCACATGCATGGGCACTAGTTGAGAATAAAGTTATTATTATGGATGAACAATATTATAAAGCCCTTTTGGTTTATTAATTAAATATTTTAGGTATGAAATTATGTGAACAATAATGGAAATGTTGTCCTTGTCAAGTTTAGCCCATGAAGATGATGATGATGATGAAGTTATCACTTATCACATGATCAACCAATATTATGACTTGATTGGAGCTTATGAAATATTGAAAATAGAATGCAATAAAATTCATATATGTTGAATTAACAAATTCTTGTATGAGACGACATTAATCGGGTTGAATTAACAGATTCTTTGTATAAGACGACATTGATCGTTAGGCGGATCATCTATCAACATTTTTAACAAAAAAAAAATAAAAAAAAATAACATGTTGATTCATGTTATGAAATGTTATGCCTTTATTTATAGTGTTTTTTAGATGATAAACATTTCAGTTTGAAAGTATGCATATTTTTTTTTAAAAAAAAATCATAAGTTTCTAACTATTAAGTATGTATCTAACCGCTACAACTGTTAAACGAATCGAGTTGCTGATTCGGCCCTGTTCGGCTCAAGCTCGGTTTAATTATTTTAGGTAATAATTGTGAAGAATTGAGAATATTAGATTCTTTTAGCAATCATTTTCTTTTGACATACATGAAACACATATATAATAAATGATTGATTTCAAGCTGAAATATTCATTTTATCACAAATTTTCAGATTCTACATAGATGATGTTCCAATCCGAGAGATTGTGAGAAATGAAGCAATGGGGGCTGATTTTCCCTCAAAGCCCATGGCCCTATACGCCACCATTTGGGATGCCTCCGATTGGGCCACCTCCGGCGGCAAATACAAGGCAAATTACAAATACGCCCCTTTCGTTGCGGAATTTACCGACCTTACCCTCCACGGGTGCACGCAAAACCCGCTTGAGGAGGTGTCGGCGGCCGCCAGCTGCACCGACATTGACGAGAAGCTCGCCAGTGCCGATTTTGCTACCATAACCCCTAAACAAAGAATGTCCATGAAAAGGTTTCGAGAGAAGTATACTTATTATTCGTACTGTTATGACACGATAAGATATCCGGTGCCCCCACCAGAATGTGTTATCGATCCGGTCCTAAGGCAACAGTTTAAGGAAACCGGGCGACTTAAGTTCGACTCCAAGAACCACCATCGGAGGTTCAAGAAAAGAGATCGAGTGACTGTGGCTAAAAGTTATGCGGGTCAATCCGACGTTTGATAATATATTATTTGGTGTTACTTATTTATGTTATGTTGTATAGTATACTATGGGTTTTATATTGTTTTCATTTTACAAATTTTCATATTTATATACTTTATACTTCCTTAGAATTATAGCATATTTTGGAAATTCTTGTGTAAAACTAAAGAGTGGATGATATAGTTGCTATTTTATTAATGTGGGAATAAAGTTATACAAATTGTTGTATGGTTTGTTTTGAAGTATTGGGGAATAAAAGTATATGCTACCTCTTTTTATTGGAATATATATATATAGTACAATGATGTATGTGTGTATATATATACTAGTACGTACCCCTACGTCCGTTTAAATCTAAAAAATAATAGAGTTATAATCTATTTTCCACCTCTTTTAGTCAGTGCTATTTTTTAGCCCGAACATTAGATACGAGCATGTTAAGCATAGTTTGACCAAGAAGCAGCACCAGTAGTAATGGCACGCCTTGTTTCTACCAAAATGGAAACCGAGGTGACATTCTAGACTATTTTTTAGGTAAGAAGTAACAATTGAACTTTTCATACATCTATAGGCAGTGTTGTATCTCGGAAACTAATCTGAGAATTTCGACCTGTGATGAAGTGGTCGTGGAATTTTCTTATTCCGACGACATTATGAATGCTTGTTCATTGTGCTGGCAATAGTTGTTGAAGTTAATGTAACTACAATATTTGTATTCTGTGGAGATGTCCATATTAGTTTATAATTAGTAACTAGAGTACAATGATTCTTCCATTTTATTCTTCCCTATAAAACACGGACTTAATTCATGTTCCTTACTGATTCTTCTGAATTCTACAGGCTGAATATGACCCTATAAGATGGCTCGATAAATCATTGATACATATACGTTCTCAATCTGGGGAGTACTAATAGGATAGCCCGTCTTCTTTTAGTTTATCCCCGAGACTCGATATTTCCTCAGTTCATTTTTCATTTACGGCGTTCACAATTTGTCCAGGTATGCGATTTGTTATTTCTTATATATGCTGATTTTCCTCGACTGTGCTATTCTATAGATAGTTGATTTTGCTGCTCATTCTTGTGCACTGTTATGTTCTTGAGCAGGCCAGTTTTCTGCTAGCAAAATTGAATCCTTCAGCTACTTACAATTCCGATACACCAGCTGTTCCGGGTGGCGATATCATCTTCACTGATGATGTCAGCTTCGAGGTCTTCTTAGATCGTCTTCAGCGTTTGGCAGTTCAATAGAATTTCTCGTATAACATCTGCTGAGGTTAGATATAGCATGACCGGTTTTGTAGCCGAGTTATTTGGAGTGTACAGTAATTTATACGAACATTCGTCGGTTTTATTTGTAATGGGGTTGTAAGTTTTGTTGTGATCCTAATAAGGTATGAAATGGTTTTCTCTTTGCTGTATGGATTGCTTAAAACTTCTTCTTTTGTGTGTGTATGTGTGTGTCTGTGTGTTTGATACTACAGAAGAAACAGGTATAATAACTACGTATATTTTTTTGTCGATTTCATCTAATATTTTTTTATGGTTTCAAATTTTTAACATAATTATTAATTATGTGTTAATTTTATCAAATTCTTAGTTAACTGAAATCTAATGAAATTACAATTTACGAACAACAATAATTCACTATCGTCGACTTTGATTGCCGTTTTGCCAACAATCCCTTCTCCACATCTCTTTGTATACAAAAATATTGGATAACCTCTTACTTTACCCGGCTAAAAGCTCGTTCCTTTTTAACTTTATTCTCATCCATCATTATCCTGATTCGATCCGCATCGTTCCATCTCTCTGCGTCCACGTACATAATGTACAGCAGAACATAAGCTCCCGAGATTTTTGGCTCAAGCCTCATCAATGCCTCAGCCGCAACTCTCGCCAGCTCTACATTACCGTGCACCCTACACGCGCCCAACAACGCGCCCCACACAGCCGAGTCAGGCTCCATAGGCATGTGCCTAATTATATCCATCGCCTCCTCAACCCGCCCGTACCTTCCCACAACATCCACAACTGATGAGAAATGCTCCACCTGCGGCTCGAACCCAAAATCGCTAATCATTGATTTGAAGTAGGATTTTGCTTGTTCAACGAGACCGCCATGCGCGCACGCGCTTAAAACCTATATGAATGTGATGTAAGTCGGTTTCACTTTGAAACGCTTCATCGGCTCGAAAAGTTCGATAGCCTCTTTTGCAAAACCGTGGGATGCGTAACCGCCTATCATAGCATTCCAAGAGATGACATCCTTTCGTGATTCCATCTCGTTGAATACGGTATTTGCTTCGGATATTGCTCCACATCTTGCGTACATGGTGATAAGGGAATTATTCAGAGGGGTGTCTGGAATAACCGTCTTCGTTACCAATTGATGAATTTGCATGCCAAGATGCGGATCTGCCGTTTCAGCACACATACTGAGAAGTGAAGACAGAGTGTGCCGGTCGGGTTTCTCCTCTCCTTGGGCTTGCATGTGAACGAACAGCTCGATTGCTTCATTGAAGCCTCCATTTTTTTCGTATCCAGCAATTATGGTGTTCCATGAAACTCGATTCTTCCCGGGCATTCTATGGAGAAATTCAAGCGCGGCCTCCATATTACCCACCTGCGCAAAGCCCGAGATTATTGAATTCCACGACAAGACATCAGGAGATTTCATTTCAGAAAATAGCTTCAAGGCGGCCTTCATATCAAATGCAAGAACATAACCACTAATCACAATATTCCACGTCAGTGTCTCGACTCTCCTCCATCTGATCAAACAAATCCCTTGCACTAGCCGTGTCTCCAACTTTCACATATGACATTATCATCGAATTCCAAGAGACGACATTTCTTTCAGACCTTGTGTGTTAAGGGATAAGATCAAAAAGGCGACGGGCATCCCCACCTTTCCCTTCTGACCATACCCTGCAATCAAAGTATTAAAAGCATGAACCAAATCTACTTTCGTGTCTTGCGAATACTTAGTAAAATCTTTTCAGCCTTGTCCAGTGCATCATATTGGATCAATCCGGACACAAGGTTACTGAAGGATGACCCATCACGCGTTGGCATACTTTCAAAAAAGCTTGCAAGCTCTCTTCACATTGCCATTGTTCAAGAACCCTGTGATCATAGCATTCCAAGTGACCGTATTCCTTTTCGGCATACTCTCAAACAGCCTCACAACATCACCCATCCTCCCATTTTTTGCATACCCACTAATCATGGTATTCCATGAGACAAAATCCCTCTTGGGCATTTTGTCAAACAGGTCTCTACCTTCCTCCACATGCCGACAGGAAAGGTAACCTGAAATCATCAAGTTCCACGACACAACATCCTTCCAAGGCGTTTCATCGAACAGTAACCGAGCATTTGCAATCTTCCGCCGTCCGACATACCCACTGAGCAGAGAATTCCAGGTTACAGTGCTTCGTTTAGACAGTTTATCGAAGAATGTGCGTGCATCCTGAAGCCGGCCAGCTTGGATTAGCTCCGTGATCTTTCAATTGGCAGCTCGAATTCCTTGAGGAAGTTGGGAAGGACTAGCTTTCAAAGTCGAGAATATTCTATCAGACTGGTATTGCCATTGTTGTCTGCAACAGAGACTAC